ACTTTATTTATTGGCTTAGATTTTTTAACAAAATTATGCCTCATGTAGATATTCTCTACAATGAAATTCAGCATCACAGTATTGATTGCATAAAACATGGAAATACGTAGACAATTTAAAAAAGGTTATCTCAGAGATAAGGAATTCTCCCAATCCTGATACACACACTGCAAGTGCAGCTGGATGTAGTCGAGACAATGAATCACTACATGATGAGTCATCACAAGCCGAACTCGAACCCAAAACAAAGCGCGCTCGCTTTAGTGATAGAAAAGACATTCTTGCTAAGAAGTGTGCGATGTCATAACTACCGGAATTAACGATCGTTTTAGCTTCCTAGACCATCTGTCAGTTGGTGTGCTTTTTGAGCCTACATTATTTTCCAAATATAAAGATACATTTCCCGAAAATGAGCTGGAAGCTGCAGTAAATATATTTGGTCTTAATAAATTGGAAATAAGACAAGAGCTATCTGTAATTTATAGCAGGGATGACTTTAAAACTGCCAAAGGATCGCTGATGTTATTAAACTTCATTTATGAAAATAATTTAACTGGCGTCCTTGCTGAGTCTGTTAAGCTTCTAAATATTATTTGCACAATTCCCATGTCCAATGCTGAAAGTGAGAGATGTTTTTCAACGCTTAAACGCATAAAAACATTTACAAGAAACACCATGAGAGAAGACCGGCTGAATGCACCAGCAATGTGCTCAATTGAGAAGGGACTTTTAAAAACACACAATTTCAACGAGCTTGTCATCCAACATTTCTCGGAGCAGAAGGACCAACGGATGAACTTCTGTTTCAAACAATTAAATTAAGGTATGTATTTAGAATGTTAGTAGTTAGTGTTAGCTTTAATAATATGAGTCACCAATTATTAAGATTGTTCACAGCCCGCAGGGTAGTTACGTTTTGGGGGGTATGGGGGAGAAGGTTGAAGGTTGTATGGACGGGCGGGTAACGCCAGGGCTACAGATACAGTATACGGCCATACGGGTAGCGCGGGGTAAAATGCGCGCCATTCTGAGAACAACGTAAACACACCACTACTAATGACGCAACTGCACACTTGCGCACGCGCAGCGGCAAAAAACCTTCAAAACAAAAGGGAGCCAATTTCTCTTGTTTATACATACCAATTGATTTTAGAGTTTAGAGGGTCAAACTCCTCCCCCAAAATTCCGAAATTGAGCAGTAAAATTTAAAACTAGGTTTAAAAATTGCAAGTTCAATTATGAAATAGAAACCACAATAGAGGATTAATTGTTATGCTTTGCAATCTATAATATTAAAACGAAACGGTGTTTTTTTATTTCACGATTCTGAATCAACCACTCGACGGATCTTCATGATTTTTGTGTTGAAAGAAAGATAATTTTGAGAACTAGGGAATGTCGAAGCCATAATTTTAGTTTAGGGTCCCAGTTTTTTAGAAATTAAATTTTAATTTTTAAAAAGTCTAGCAGCCGACGCTAAGATTCTAAACTAGCTTTTGGCATAAAATAATTTGCTTAACATAACAATGAGTCTTGTACCCTACGATATGTTTTAGAGCAATATAATTTTGTTTTAACTAACAGCTGGTTAAATATAAACTATATGGAACTATGAGGTTATTTTATTTACTTTTATTTTGTCATTGATTATAGGAAATAAGTAAGATTAGTAGAGATAATTAGACCACAGTTTTAACCAAAATTAATTAAACCAAAGCACAAATCGAGGCTCTGTACACGAGTCTTAATAAAAAAGGATAAATGCAAATTATTTTACTGCTCCACTTTTCAAGGAAAGATTAAAAGAATAACAGTGTTTACATGTATTAATTCTTAATGGTAGCTTTATGTTTACAATTAATGTTTGTGTTTGTCTGCTTTAACTTTGTTTGGATTAGGCCCGGAAATATTTATGTCATAAAAAGAAGATCAAGAATAATCAGGAATCACGATTTTAAATTACCACCACAACCTCAGCCGGGTTTTATACAAAGATAAACAGATGGATGACAGATTGAACACAACGTCAACATTGACCTAGGATACTGCAATTAGACAAACCATCCTTTTATGAAATCGTGTTCAGTTGTGGCCTATATCAGCGCCCCCAAACGTGAAAATATCACTTTTATTTCAACTATGAATATATTGTAGTTTAAATTAACTAATATGGGAAATTACGATGTACGTTTATTCAATGAGGGTGGGTAATTATCAAGGATAGAACTGATAACGGTATGGATAATAAACATTGACAATTATGTCATTAGCTTTACTAGCGTGTTTACTTTTTATATTCCTGCTACATGTGACCAGTTCTTTTTTTCAAATGAATGTTATTTGAACCAAACAGCTGTTTCAAAACAAACTGTTGTTGTTTTTACTTTTCTTTACTTACTTACTTACTTACTCCTGTGGCCACACAAATCCAAGGAGATTTTTGGCCTCGCCAACAAGGTGCCTCCATCTTTCTCTATCTTCTGCCTCGTCCAACTCTGCGCCCAGTCTTCCGATGTCTTCAGCAACCTGGTCATCCCATCTAAATCTCGGTCTCTCCAGTGGGCGTCTTCCTTCAGGCTTTCCCCTCCACACTCTTCTTATACTGCTGCCTTCTTCTCTTCTTCTAACATGCCCAAGCCATCTGACTCTCCTACTTCTAATTAAGGCTACAATATCAGGTCTTTTATAAAGGTCCCTTAACTCTTTATTCTTTCTAATCCTCCACGCCCCATCTTCCAAAGTTGGTCCGTATATTCTCCTCAGTATTTTATTCTCAAAAGTTATTAATTTTCTCTCTATGTTCTTTGTGAGGGTCCATACTTCCGAACCGTAGAGAAGAACAGGTTGGATTATTGCCAGATATATTCGAACCTTGGTGTTTCTTGACAGGAGTCTGCTTTTCAAAAGTTTTGATAAGCTCCAATAGCATCTATCAGCTCCATTCAATCTAGCTTGTATTTCCTGATCCATCTTATTCTGGCTGTTTATTATCACACCCAAATATTTAAATTCTTCTGTGACAGAAAATTTATAACTCAAACATTCCAGTGTTGAGGTCACATGTTCTGCCTGCCTTCCTATCTTCATAAATTTTGTTTTATCTTCATTCACTTGTAACCCTACCTTTCCTGCTTCTGTTATGAAGGCTTCAGCTAATACTTTTAGGTCATTTTTCTTTTCAGCCAATAAGGCTACATCATCAGCAAAAGCCAGTACATTGATTTGTCCTTCAATATTCGCACCCAACTGAATAGATCTGGTTGCTTTCAAGGCGTATTTACTTTTCTTTGTTTACACTTATTTATTTAGCAATTAATGCAGTGAAATTGATATAAAGGATAGGTGTGACGATTAGTTTTGATGTTAGGACACCAAAGTTAAATTATGTGTACTGTGAATTTTATTGGATATTATCGTTTTATTTTAGGTCGTTTCTATTCAGACCTACTGGAAATTGTGTATAGTAATTGTATTTTGCTGATAATAATTATGGAAGAGGCAGGTATGCTATGGAAGGTGGTATCGTTGACTAGGCCTATACACTTCTCAATTGATCTTTCTACTGTAGACTGCAATAAAATTTGTCTTTATATGTGTAAACTAGCTGTTCTGAATTATAGGCCTACACAGTTTTAACTGACTACTCCCATACGTAGGACGGGCTAACACCTCGTATCTATTCATATTTAATATAGGCCTAGTTCTATTAGGATAATAAATCTGATCTATTAAATAAATTGGTAAAAACTATTTAAAAAATATACTTTACTCTACTCTAGGCCTATGTCTACTTGCTCATGACAAACAACAGGTGAAATGGGAGTTTTTGGGCTATTATTGGACACAGTTTTAGGCGTTAAAAATTGCTTTAGAAAGTCACCAAACTGCTTTAAAAATGTAAAATTTTTCCGGACCCTCCCCTTGACAAGGTCCTAGAGCCGCCACTGCTGGCTAGCAACACAGCGCTGCGGAGATCAAGGTGCGCTTCACTGAGTGGTTGAGATCGCAGGCGGCAGACTTCTATGATGAAGGAATTTCAAAGCTTGTCCACCAGTACTTTAGGTCTCTCAATTTGTTTGCTGACTACGTGGAAAAGTAGTATTTTAGTTGCTCTTTCAGATGTTTATAATACAAATTTTATATTATACTTACCTATTACCTATTTTATTTTTTATTTTTACCATTTTTAAAAGTTTTTTACTTTCTAAATTATTTTATTTTAATTAGTATTATAGAGTTATTTAAATGATCTGTTTTTGTTAAAATTAGTTACAAGAATATCTATGTTAGGCATATGTGCATATAAGATGTTATATTTACTGTATACAAGAAAGGTATATTATAATGTTATGTACATAGGTTAAATTTTTTGTTTAAAAGAAAAAAAAATCAAAAACTCTGTGATGTATACACAACTGTAATTTGAGAAAATAAATGAATTTGAATTTGAATTTGAATAGCTCTCGTAAAATAGCTTATTCCCTATAAACGAATTTCACTAAAAGGCAAAATTTCAGCCTCTGAAATTAGACTTTGTGTGTTACAGTAACAAGGGTAATTTGTCCAATTGTTACTTACTAGTAACCAGCTTCTACACTAGCAACTTGAATAATGGAATGCAAGTTCCTGCAAATTTGAGTCTTGAACTTTTTCCACTAGACTTTTTTCAAGCAGTTAGTATGCTCCGACGTGATAACACAGAATGATTTACTAGCAGCTTGTAAATGTAGCATGAAACAAGTTTCTTGTCTCTTTTAATTGAACCTATTAAATAGTGGAGATAATAGGCAAGTTTAAAATCATCTGTTAAAAAAATATGCAGGGCTGTGTTATTTAATTTTCTACCTTAATTGTTTGTATTTTTAATTGGGATACCGGTACTACATACAGGCAAGTTGATATTAGCTTTTTTACTATTTACTGGTAATATTAACTCTCTTATTAAAGCAACAACAGTATTGTTTTATGTGATTGAAAACTAATTTATTATGCATTTGCAGAGAACATCCCAGTATCAACAGAAGTGTTGGGGGGACCGTCGCCTCAACCCCCTCCTCGTATGAGACACAACCCGTTCAACCGAGGACCGACCAATGGCTCAGCGACACACCACACCAGGTCCAACAGTGTACGGTCAGCCCCGGCGCGCGCAGATAATACCAGGCCCGAGAACACTGGCAGGCATCGGTGAGTAGTGTGGTGCTTTTGAGTTTTATTTATCTCAAAAATATATTTTATTGAGAGCATAAACTTTCCTTACCACAGAACCACTAAGGTTTTCGTATAAAATTATATTGCTCAATCAAAACCAAGCACAATTTCTGCTCAGAATCACAGAAATTTACCATCAGCCTAGGGTGAAAAATAATGATAAGACAGACAAGTTTAGAAGTTATGGGAAAATAATAAATAAATAAATAAATAAATAAAAATGCCTTTTATTAGCAAGCGCTCCTCAGTACAAACTGTTTTACAGGATGACTCTTGTCAAGTAACTAATCCTAACTTAAAACTAAAGACAAAACAAAAATACTGATCCCCCTATTAACAAGATTTTAGCTATTTACAAAAATACATTTTCTTTAGCCTAGATCTAAAAGCTGGGACACCCAGCATCTTCAGGTCACAGGGGAGGTCATTGTACATTTTAGGCCCAAAGAACGAAAAACCTCTCTTTCCTACTTCCAACCTCACCTTCGGGAAATGAAGCTTTTTGTCTTGTCGGGTATTGCGCTGAGACACCCGATCGCGGGTGACCAGTCTTTTAATGAGGTACGCTGGTTCCTCTTCGGCCAGTACCCTGTGTACCAGAGTGCAGGTTTGCCTCCTGCACACAGCAGTTGAGGACAAGAGGCCAGCAGTTCTTTCAAATTGAGAAATATGGTCTCGTTTCCGAAGACCATATACAAATCTCACTGCGGTGTTCTGCAGTCTTTGGAGCCTGTCCATGTCCTCCTTTGTGATACTATTGCCGTATGCAGGAAAACAATAGTACAGAACTGACAATACAATGGATTGAATCAACTGAATCTTAGCTGACTCAGGTAGGATGGTTCGGCATTTGTACAGACCCCGCAGTCTACCCAACGCCAGCTGGGAAACATGAGTGATGTGATCAGAAAAAGTAAGACCACTGTCCAGAATCACACCCAAAGTCTTAGCAGTGTGGCTCACCTTCAAATCCCTCTGATCAAGTTTAACCTGCACGTCTCCATCAATTATCCTTTGGACAACATTGGGTGGAGCAATGTGGAGAACTGTGCATTTTTCTCCATTTAACTTGAGACCATGTCTCATTGATCACTCACTGACGTTCGCCAAATCTGAGTTTACCCTCGCAACAGCCTGGTCAATTGAATTGACATCATAGGATAAATGCAACTGACAGTCATCAGCATAGGCGTGCACATTGCAAAAGTGCACGCTACTGGAAAGGTCTGCAGTGTACAAGGTGAATAAAATGGGACCCAGACAGCTCCCCTGCGGCACCCCCCTGACTTTGTCAAGAGGAAGTGAGACATCAGCTCCCACTCTAGTCACCTGTTCTCTTCTCTCCAAGTACGACTGCACCCAAGCAATTGCATTATCCATAAATCCAAGATGTCTTAATTTAGCGAGAAGCAAACTATGGCTTATGGAGTCAAACGCCTGAGAATAGTCAAGCATCACTACAGAGCTACACCTGCCCCGATCCCTTGCCTCAAACAAGTCTGCAAGTCCTATAACAAGTCCTATAATATATTAGGCCTACTGATCTTCAAGCGGGGTTAATTTTTTTTAGTTAAAGACGTTTTCGGGATCAGAGATGTTTTTGATTTCACTAGGCCTACTGATGAATTATTTGTTTTATTTCGGATTCTACTGTTGGGAATAAGAAAAATTTGTTATGGATAATGTTTTGTCTAAAATCTGTGGTGTTTGTGGCTCTGTAATTGGTCTGTTTTGGTACATCTTAAAAAATGTATTAAATATTTCTGATACTAAGGAAGGATCGTTAATCTTTTTTCCCTCCTTCAACTTCAAGTCACACTTTATCCACATGTTTGTTCTTTGGGACTTTATTATGGTTAATTATACACCATATGGCCTTTGACCTGTTATCCACACTATCAATTCTTTTGGATACTACTTTGGATTTGGCACTTCTTATCATTGTGCGATATTTAGATTTAAGTTGATGAAATGGCGTCTTAAGACCTGAGAGGAATCAAGGTCATTTGTTTCTTTGTATCAAAAGAGTAGCTCACCCTTCATTGCAAGTATATCCTTACTTACATGGAATTTAAAATCAAATATTTTTTTTTGGAAAGCAATGTCAAACAAATACTTGAACTGATCATAGAAAGCTTCAAATTTTTGGTCAACATCATAAGTCTCCATTATGTCAGTCCAAAAGTTCGTCAGTTCGTTATATGATCTGGCAAATCATGCTATTTTGGGGAGGGGGGTCAGATGAGATTTTTGATGGTATAAGAATAGCCTGAGAAGGGTGGTCTGACAAAGCTGAAAGAATAACAGAGCTCTCAAATGACAAACAGTTTTTAAGTAAATGCATCAACTGTATTAGATTTTTTAGCCTGAAACTTCTCTAGTGATATTTTTACCTATGTTTGTGTGCCATATGACGATAAGAAAGCCAAATACTTCGAGAGTGGTCTGATAGGTCGATATTAAAGTCGCCCATGAGTAATAAGATTCAAATGCTTTCCTTTTAGATCATCAACTAATTCAGATATTTTGTCAATACATTCATCCAGTTGGTTACACGGAGGTCGGTAGACTGCTACTATTAGATATTCAACTGTAGCGTTGATTGGAATTAATATGGCTGCAAACTCAAAAACTCCCTCAATGCAGTAGTATTTGGTACAAACGTTTTGCTCCAAATACCAACTCCTCCATGTTTCATATGCATGCGATAGAAGGATGATTCAATTCTGATGATTCAATTCTTCAATGATGATCAATTTTTGGTTTTTATATTTGAATAGTTTTTAAATTATGTTCAGTCAGACATAATATATCAGGATTTTCTTCATTTAGAAATATTTATAGTTTGTCTCTTTTATTTACTGAACAAACCCCTTATGTTTTGATGCATGGCTTTAAGGGACAGTACACCCTGACCTCTAGTAATCTTTTGAGGAAATGGCCCCAAGGAACACCCGTCAGCCTGCGCCCCTCCCCTAAAAAAATAACTGTTAAAGATGGTACAGGTAGTAGGTTTTGTTTTACAGGTTGTTGATAGTGATATAGATTTTGTGCTGAATGTAGATTGTGTAGGTGATGTAGATTTTTCGGATTGGATCTCAGTATCTACAATAAATACAAACCCTTTTCAACTGACTTAGTGAGAGAGAGTGAGACCAAGAATTAGAGAGAGAGAGAGCAGAGAGAGAGAGACAGAGCAGCGCGACCGCCGTGTGAGCGATCCTTGCGGCAGCCGCGCTAAGCTCATTTCGGCGGAAAAATTCCAGTCATCAAGATTCAAGATTCAAATAGTCTTTATTCAATATATAACATATATGAAACATACATGTATCTGAATAGAGTCAAAATCTATATACAAATCAAACAAATTAAAACATAAATCTACGCAAATGTCCATTATGAAAAATAAATGGAAATTCAAATGAAATATTTTTTTTTTTATCTACGAATTCTTGTAATGAATAAAAAGGATTTTTTACTAGGGAATCTTTTAAAAGTTTTTTGAATTTTTTGAAATTTGTCTCCTGCCGGATGCTTATTGGTAGATATTGTAACAATTTCAATCCTGCATAAGTGGTTTTCTTTGTATAATATTCTAATTTATGCTGAGGCAATCTAATTTTTAACCTAGTATTATAGTTATGCCCGGAATTGGAGGGTGTTGTCAGTTCCCTTTGTTTCAAAAAGATTATGGTTTCAAGAATATATAAATTATACACAGTTAAAATGTCCAATTTATGAAAAAGATTCTTCACTGAGATGGTTTTCCGTAATTTCATAATAGTGTGAATTGCTTTTTTTGCTGTTTAAGTATCAAGATTTGATTTTGTTGTTCCATCATAGACTGTGATTCCGTATGAAATGTGGGATTAAACTAATGAATAATAAATAATTTTTAAGTTTCCAAATCACAGACTCTGGACATCTGTCTCAGAGCATAGATACCAGAAGGTTTTTTTTACAAGGTGGTTGATGTGATCATCCCATGAGAGATTTTCATCAATGATTAAACCTAGAAATTTAGTTAGGCCTACTTGATCTATTCTATCTGATTTTTAGAAAATATTTGGCTCAAATTTGACTTTTGATTGTTTGGTTGAAAATGATATTAGGTTTGTTTTCTTTTTATTTACTAATAGATTTTTTTGATCAAGGAACTCATGGATAAACTGAACTGTTTTATTTAAAAATTGTTCAACATAATCATGTGACTTTCCTGAAAACAGAATATTACAGTCATCAGCATACAGACACATTGATACATCGGGCCCAGGGATCATCTCCGGCATGCCTCTTATGTAGCAAAGAAAGAGCAGAGGGCCTAAGATTGACCCCTGGGGAACCCCATAACGCAGTGTCTGACACTGAGACCTGGATTTTTCAAGGTATCGAGCCCTATCACTCTCAACAATATAATCAACCTCAACAAACTGTTCTCTGTTGTCTAAATATGAAGAAAACCATCTTAGCTCCTTACCACAAACTCCCAACTCCTCCAATTTAGCTAATAATTTGCAGTGTGACACACTGTCAAAAGCCCTACTAAGATCTAGAAATACTCCAATAACATTTTCACCTTTGTCTATTGCATTTATGATGGATTCAATAAATTCAACAGCGGCAGTAATTGTGGATTTTCCAGATCGAAACCCATGTTGTTCCCTATCTAGCAAATTGTTAATCTCAAGAAAATTAGAAAATTGGTTATATACGATACGTTCAAAGATTTTTGAAAAAAACTGGTAATAATGAAACAGGGCGATAACATGTTGGATCTGAACTATTGCCACTCTTAAAAATAGGAATTACTTTAGCCAATTTTAATTTAGAAGGAAAAATACCAGAAATAAGAGAAGAATTTGTTAAGTGAGTCAATGGCTTACGAATAAAAATTATAGATTTTTTAACAATTGTGATGGGTATCTCATCATACCCTGAGGAAAATTTGTTTTCAAAAGAAAGAACAGTTTTCTCAA